TATACATCACACCCAGGTTCAAACCAATGTGAACAACTTGGTGCCAATGCATGGTGCTATTTATTATCTACTTAGTTCTGCCAGCGGCTTCGCCCGTGTTCCCAGGGATAAGAAGTATCCATTGTATTAATTCAGATCATAATCTATCTCTGTTCTAAATTTCATCCCGGTTCCTTCACCCGTTTTGATGTGACTTAGTAACATAGATACACACAAACATATATTTTCACATTTATAATATCGATTCAAGATAATTTTAACCATTGGCTACAGTTACAGCGTAAAGTCCTTTGCGGGAAACTTAACAGACAAACTTATATTTTGCGATTGGTACAGTAACTGTGTCGAGGGATTGAGCCGCACAATTAAGTTAGATTTTTCGTGTATATACTTTTTCGGGATAAAAAGTACCCAGTGTTGTGTTCAAGACTTAAAGTATAATCAGACAGACAAACATGCAACAAATTTTTAACGGCGAGTTGTGCTGGTTCGACTGCTGCCTCTGCAGAAAACCTCAAGCGGCGCAAGTATAACAACCTTGCTGGTAGTTATATCTTTGAGCCGTTTGGGGTTCAGACGCTAGGTCCGTGGGGTCCGAGTGCGCTTAAATTGTTCAAAATCATTTCGAAATGCCTGGTCGACATATCTCGTGACCAGAGGGCTGGTCTTTTTTCGGTCAGAGCTTAAGCATTGCCATACAACGTGGCAATGCTGCCAGCCTTCTGGGTACTTTCCATAGTTTGTTTTTCCTATAATTAATTTTAATCTTAAGTTGTATATATTTAATTTAGTAATATTTAGTTTTAATTTTATTTAAATAATAGTTGTTATTTAAGTTTTTTATAGAAATAAACTATTAAGATATCAAAAAAAAATATTATTTTAATCACATTTTTGGTTTCGGTGTCTATCCAGTAACAACTGCTACTATTTTTTTTATATAACAGTAGTACAATGTACAGAATTCATACTTCTACAGTTTGATTATATATTCTCACATATGTGTGTGTATATATACACATAGCTAGAGTAGCGTACCCCTACTAGCCATAAAACAAATGTGCTAATTATCTAATATATACAGTCGTTAACCTGGTATAACCTCTAAGAATTTTTCCATCACAACAAATAAATTGCATAATTTTCTTAAGAGTGACTGATCCACATCACGTTGTGTACCATGCGCGGATCGTGGAAATTTTAAAGGAAGACAGTGATTCGACAATTGGGTGTCTCGGGTCCAATTGCCGGCCATGTCAACGGCACCCCGCGATGGTTCGAGACAATTTTCGAAGCCAATTCTGTTATGCAACACAATAACACGAAAATATAACAATATTTCTTTTTAATATTTCTTCTAGATTTGGTGTTAATATAACAGTGTGAGACTTTGGGTGTTATGAATAAAATAATAATATCAAGATTGATAAATAACTTCGACATGTTTGACCTTATATTTGCTTTAAATCAGACAATTCCCGTTAGTAGATAAATTATAACCTGTGTTATTAGTATATATATATTGTAAAGCTAAACTTCTTCGTTCAATTTCCTGGCAATGCAAAATGAAGATACAGAACTATAATTTACACATTTGAAACATCAAGAAAGATAAGATTTATCATAGACATCGTGGTATGGTTTTTTACGAGTATAGTTGGCGAATCACATACACAACTGCCAAAACACACAAAGAAGGTACATGGGTTAGTACATGTAATGTTTGCTCTATAAATTAACATTAGAACTATAAAAAACCCACCGCAACAATGAGAACGTTCAGTTAGTAACAGGTCGGTAAGATCATTATTATGTTACTAAACATAATCTCAAGTTCATTGCCATTCAGACCTCGCCTCCAAACCTACTCTATAACAAAACAAATGTGTTACTGTAAAATCTTAAACATCGGTTTTTATAGATCTTACCAGTAAATCTATGGATTGCATTAAGTTTTGTACATATATTTTTACGAAATAGCCGTTATACAACACTGGTCATGTTTTTATTTTTTAAATGTAGCTATGCTAATCTGTAGGATCATATAAGGACATTATTTCCACAACTCGCTCTTGCACAACAACGTATGATACTCTGGTACCTACTACAATATTGATACTCTTCAATAGATGAACAGATAGCGTTATCTAATTAAAATAGAATTCTTTAATAAATTATGTGATGGATACATACATACATACCTTCACGCCTGTCTCCCATAGGGGAAAGCAGAAACTTTGGAACGCCAATTACTATGATTCCTACATACCTCTTCCGCGATGGATACCTAATACAAAATGAATACAAATATTATCGTCAACTTGATTTCATCAGAGAGTAAACATAAATTAAACTATGTATGTGACATTAATTTTATTATTTTATGACTATCACAATTTCGTGAAGACCAAATAAATATAAATGTTCAGTCAATAGGGTCACTAATTGCTCGCCTTTCAAGGTTTATAAGCGTGTTCATAAAAAATATTTATAACTATAACAATATGATATAATGGAAAGACTTAGCATTCATGTAATTAGCATTTGCACCGTAACATTCTAATAAACACGTGATAACATATTTTTTGTTAAGGTAGGTATTTTAGTATTCATAACATCGCCGACGCTGATGTGAGCAGTGGTTTTATATATTATGTTCTTACAATATATACATATATATTATATATATAGGTAGGTAGGTATATTTTTAAGTCTTCGTTAGTAACAAATATAGTAAACAAAATTTTTTTCTTTATAAAAAAAATAAAAAAGTCTATAAGTAGGTAACGATGAATTTCTCGATAATCTACATTTTTGGAACTACCTACCTCGCTGCACAATTGCTACAATTCTATTTTGCCATTTCAAAAGGGCCTGTGTGCGTGTGACCTAACAATGCGTTCAATTTATTATTAGAGACGAAAGTGTACACTATACATAATTCTGTGAACATAAGGTCAAATTTCTTATGTTAATAATTGGATTTATTCTTCTATGCGCTTCATCTAAATCTCTGTGCTAGGATGAATTGACCTTTAACATACCCAACCTAAATCAGAGACAAATAAAAATAAAATTAATGCCCATTTATCTATCTACTGTTTCAAATAAATAAATGATTGAGTATTATACAATGTCAAATATATAATTACTCTTTTTAAATAACTATTGCAACGTAGGCATCTATTGAGATAATTATATACGATACTAAGTTTTTTTTTATAAAATAGAGAACAAATGAACAGACAGATCACTACTGACTTGATGTTGTTAATAGATACGTTGTAAGTCTTGTAGAAAGGAAAGAGATGTTTGAGGACTCAGTCAACATCAATTACGCGTTTCTAATATAAAATCTGTATAGACACAAACAGAGAGTATACATCTAATCTGAAATAAAATTTATGTTATCATACCTACCTATTATCTAATACATCCGTACTGTAATGCAAAAATAATGTCTGTCTTTATCAAACAATGAAAAGATGTCTACTTTTATAATACTTCATTAATCGGGCACGAGCGAATATATTTATAGATAGGTATTATATGAATCAAAAATAGGACATGGTATATACCTCTAGAGGTATACCGACCATGTCCTATTTTACAATTTTCCTATTTTACCAATTTTTTGTAGCTTATAGAGGTAATCTTTGCTTAATTACAGAAAATTGAGTCGTACATATGTAGTTTCCTGGAGGATTAAGTCACCTGCTTCTCATAGTATTTAGATACGATTGACAAATGACAGTCGCTTCGTCGGATCTTAATAGAAAGATCTCGAAGCAGGTAAGACGTGACCTTCGGTGCTCCAACACACGCGCTATAAAAGAAGCGATCGAGCGAAATCGGGGGTCAAAAGTTTTCATCCAGCAACTAGGTCGAAGCCATCTGACGAAGCTGACTACATCTGAGGGAAAAGTCGTCGCTTCTGGGCCGGAGATTCTTGCGGAGGTTCAGCGCTTCTACGGTGATCTATATGCGTCACAAGCACCCCAACCTCAATCATACTCGGGGGATCCCAGGGCCACACTTGTCCGCCACTTCACTGAAGAGCTGCCAGAGGTCAGCCAAGACGAAATCGGGGTGGCTTTGGGGCAGCTTAAAAATGGAAAAGCCCCCGGTGAGGACGGAATTACGACGGAGCTCCTTAAGGCAGGGGGAAAACCGATTCTCGAGCGGCTCCAAAGTATATTTAATTCCGTCCTCTTCACGGGGAGAACTCCTAGGGTGTGGAGCAGAAGCATTGTCGTTATGTTCTTCAAAAAGGGAGATAAAACCCTTTTGAAGAACTATCGTCCTATTTCTCTTTTGAGCCACATCTATAAGCTGTTTTCCAGGGTCATCACGAATCGTCTCGCACGAAGGCTTGATGAGTTTCAGCCCCCCGAGCAGGCCGGGTTCCGAGGAGGATATGGCACCATGGACCACATTTACACGATGAGGCAGATTATACAGAAGACCGAGGAGTATAATCGGCCTCTATGCTTGGCGTTCGTGGACTATGAGAAGGCCTTTGACTCTATCGAGATCTGGTCTGTTCTGGAGTCCTTACAACGGTGCCAAGTCGACTGGCGATATATCCAAGTGCTGAGAGAACTGTACGAAGCTGCGACTATGGCCGTCCAAGTACAAAATCAGCAGTCTGAACCTATTCACCTGCATCGAGGAGTCAGACAAGGGGATGTTATATCCCCCAAATTGTACAAAATAGGTGCATTTGTAGTTGTAAAAAATAGGTGATTTTTGAAGGCTCCTCGTCCAAAAAGCGGGTTAATATGACTTGACGTCCAAAGAAAAACAGCGATAACGTCTTAATTGTACATACATAATAATTATTTAAAACATAATTTGCCACAATCAGATCATCGACTACTTTTAAAAACTATTGGACAATTTATTAAATTATCGTGATTATAAAAATGATAAGTATTAGGCAGATAAGATTTTACATATAAAAATTAACCGATAATGCTTTATTTGATTAGTTAGGTTACTGTGTTGTGCGGGAGAAAACATGACCTCATGATGTCTAAGTTAATTATAATAGTTGTTAGTCTCTTTGGACTAATTAGTGTATGTGTTGGACAAGTGGTGCAAGAAGGACAGTGTGATGACAATTTGGGGGTGTATGAAAATTTTGATATTTCACAGGTACAAATAATTGTTGCGTTTTTTACTAAAATAAAATAATAAATGCATTTATTTGTGGCAATAGAAAGATCTACCAAGTAATGTAGGGCATTCCAACAACAAATATAAATAGATCACAATTGAGGATTATTAAATTAAAAGTTTAAGTGAAACGCGTTTATACAGTTATTATTAACTCTTTTTTGATATCCATTACCACATCTGGCAAAAAATACATTAGGTGAAAAGTTCATAATAAATGAGACAATTAAATAAGTGAAACCATATAAAAAATATTACCTACCAAATAAGCTTCGTAACACCGGAACTATTCGTCCAAAGAGTATAATTCATCTCTTTGTGATCGTTAGTCTAGGAACGATTATGTGTAAAATAAAAAAAAAATACAAGCTCTCCAGAAAAGCCGGATTGAACCGAGCAAAGCCAACTCGGGCCGCTCGTATTGAATAGTTCATTTTATCATTTCTCTTCAGCGTAGTTAGAAATTTGTTGACTTCATTTTAAATTTTTATACATTTATGACGAGTAAAAGTCATATTATATTGAAGAAATAAGTTCATTATTAGAATTATTTACAATTATTTTATGTAAAACGTTTCTTATTATTTTTAACTTGGTGGGTGCGTTTACAAACATACAATTTCACATATACCTTACTCTCAGACCAGAAACAACAATTTGTGGATTACACGAATAATATGTATCAGAGACATTGTAGAACATATTTTTTTTTTTAAAAGAGTAACGAATGGAGTTTCTTTCTCGTTCTTCTCCATTCGAATCTACATTTTGGAATGAGCATCTAGCTTCATCTAATTTCACTGACGGACTGACTGACATACTATTATTTATTTTGTATTTGTTGACGTTTCAAAAGTACCAAACTAAGGTTTAATTGAAATAAATGCTTTGACTTTGACTTTGAAAAAGTTGCTCCGTGCGGGAATCGAACCCGCTACACGTAGCGCAGCAGGTGATTGTCCAATGTCCAGGGACCGCGTCAACTTTGCAGTCAAAAATAATAAGTAGCCAATGCTGACTAAAGGCCTTTTCTTGCACGGAAAAGAAATGCGCATTAATCAATGTTCCTTGTGCGTACTGCTAAAGAGTGAAATTCTTTGCCAGAGTCTGTATTTCCTGAAAAGTACAACCTGGGATTCTTCAAGGCCCGAGTGAAAAGGTTGCTTATGGGACGACGTGCTCCATCGTAAACCGCATATCGCTTACCACCAGGCGAGATAGCGGTCAAACGTCGGCCCATGAAATATAAAAAACAACGCTTGCGCCAAGGCGGGATAGCGATAAACTTACCTCTATAATTAGAAATTATAAGCCCAAGTTTCCTTACGATGATTTCCTTTACTGTTTGTCAGTGGCTCTTAGTTAAAAAAACATAAATCTTTTCTAGTATATTGCATTTCTATCAATATTATAATATTTTTGCTAATTATAAAAATAAATTAGTAATTGGCGGCTACGATAAAAATGTATTTACAAATCCAAATATCTTTGCATGTTAAAGTAATTTAGATTACTTCAGCGATATAGAGGTACACTCTCACGTCATTTGCTTATCCTCAGATCGAATTGCTATCTTAATATATAATTGTTGCTACTTCTTTTTTCGCATATCAATGCCTATTTTATTTACCTATTTTTTTTTTAAACCGTTACCCCACATTCGGATTTTCTCCTGTGTCGTGGGCGCGATTACAAACATACAAGTTTACATACACATGACACCCAGACCCGGAACAACAATCTGTGGATCACACAAAGAGTTGTTTCGTGCGGGAATCTAACCCGCGACACGTTGCGCAGCAGTCAGTTGCCCAACCACTGCGCCAACCGTGCAGTCAATTCCTTTTGTTTCCTCTTTGTATGAACCATTTTTGAATTACCCATTAAAATTACTTAGTAAAACTTAGTAAAAAAATAGTGTACAGCCAGAATCAGGAAGACTTCATAACAAACTGAATTGATAAATCAAGATTTATTTTTTTGTCATTTTCGATATCGTGAATGTCAAAGTTTTTATTATTAAAACAGCATTAAATACAGCTTAACCGTTTGTTTGTTTGGGTTAATTTTATCACCTTCCTGACGACCGATCGATCTGATTTTTGGTACACATTAAGAACTTGATGACCATATAATTACTATAGTATATTTTATACCACAACCTCTATTTTATAAATATCAAACAAAAGATTTATAGAATTGACTTTATTAAAACCGATAAACATACAAAATACGTTTTTATATATTGCTTGTTAAGAGTTAAATAGTAAGTAATGCTTATTTTATTGGGTACTTATTCACTAACTAGAGCCTTCTATGTGCGGCTTTAAATATAAGCGGTTAGGCGTCCAGTAGGTACAGTAAGATACGAGCGTTTTGTCAAAAATTGTAGTAACCTTATTATAGATGTTCGTTCAACGAGGTAAATATAGACAATCATAACCTAAACAAAAACGTTAAATGTTCACTATACTGATAATTTTATATACTTGAACATTTTTTAATTTCTTTCTGTAACAGTTTTTAGGAGAATGGTATGAAATAGCTCGAACATCTAACCCGAACCAAGATGGAGACTGTGCAGCATATGAATTCACAAGTAATAGTAATCATGCCATCGATGTGCAATACACTTCAGTCAGAAGAAACTTCTTGGAAGAAGCTACCGGGTCAATCACCCAAGAAGGCAACACTGCTAAACTTAAAATGACATTGTCGTCATTCGAAGAACGTAAGTCATTTTAACATCTTAAAGCGCATATCGTCGGTGCGCTTGCCAAAACTGTTATGTGCATTTAGTCAAGTTTTCAGGAGGAGACAATAAACTATTTTTTACACTTGCACTGAAATGTTGATGGACTTAGCAATAAATTAAAAATGCAGTATGATGGCAAAAATTATGATAAAAATAACTGAGATAAAAGTGAAAATGATAACATGTACTGTTCATCCCCAATAATTTTATTTTCCCATTTTGGTGCACATATCAGATTTATCTTCGAAAACGGTAAAAATTTTAAACAAAAACTGTTGATATTCAATCTGCCAAACTATCTATGTGATGCTGCAACTTCTGACATGTGCGTTTTATGTCACATAACTGTAACTAATCGAACACATAACCAATTTGTCATGGCCAGAAAGTGCACATATAAGATTGGTCTAGTCGGTTTCTAGAGGAAAATAACACATATTTGTTTTTGTAATCGATGCGCTATCCGATTTGAAGGGCATATAGCTAAGAAAAAAAAACTAAATATTTGAACATATCAATTTTGGCAGGCGCACACGCCGACTATGCTCTTGCACATGCTACAGTTGCCAGACAGCCAGTGTCGATTATAACTGACGGTAAATTTACCTACATTAAAATATGCCAGTACGTATGATAGATAATGTACATGGCTATAAAGTTTGCAACCAGATAACTGGGACCAGTTTATATTAAAACTTTCGTGAGACATAATAATTTAATTATTATGTTTTCGGATTATGCAAGTAACTGTTTGACGAGGACCTTGACTAGTTTCAAGCCATGCTAGAGGCTCATATTCATGAGCAGTATTCCGCGACCCGCGACGACGACGACGACTGTCGCGGTCCTACTGACTAAGTAAAACAGTTGTAAACGTGAATAAGTCGAAAATATAATAATTAACCGGGACCAACTTGTCCGGCACCCGGATTATATAAAAATGCCTAGTACTAAGTGAAAATAAAAAGCACACTAAACTGTTTTTTTCCAAATTATAACCAGACGATTTACAAAAAATATTTTTTTTCCTTTAATTTTGTTTATAACCTTTAAGACCCTCACAATTCTGATCTTATAATTAGTACTTACGTGTCGAAAATTATGAAACAATGGCAAATACACAAACTGTTTTTACAACCTACCTACTAAAAATTCTAAATCGAATAGTTCCCTCATCGGTTTCAAAAAAAAAGCAAGGATTTAGTTCCATTAATCACTCTTCCATTACTCTCTGTGCAGGGTTTTTTGTTTTCTTTAATTGCACATAATTAACTACCGAGACTTTTTTTTAATTGAGACTTAAGTTTGTGAAATTTATTATTTATTAATTTTAATGTTTTTCCAGCTGTTGACTTTTGGGTCCTGGCTACACTGTATGAGACGTACGCGGTCACATATTCTTGTGAAAACATCTCGCCAACGCAAAGAAAGAGTGAGTACACGTATTTAAAACTTAGTATTTATTTGCTGCCTTGTTGGCCGAGTGGTCGCAAGAGCGACTACCGGGCAAAGGCTCTCGGGTTCGATTCCCGGGTCTGCCAAAGTATTACTGAGTTTAAAAAAAATGTGCCCGATACATGGCAATAGGCTCACCCCCTAAAACATGAGACTCATAACATAAATAGTGAAAAGTGAGTGTTACATTGTACAGTTGCATTAAGCGCCGTAATGTGCACCTTTGCCTATCCCTTCGGGGATAAAAGGCGTGATGTTATGTTATATATTTATTTTTATAACGTTTGAATCACAGTTTTAAGTTAGAGTTAAACAGAATTGAAAACACATGATAAAGTTCCTATATTTTAAAGTCTATGAAAATGACGTACAAATATTAATGATACCTTTTCCAAAGAAAATTATGTTCTAAATTCATTCAGTTCACTGGTATCATAAATAATAACTTTATTGTATAATACAAATTCTGGTGTGAAACTTGACCAAGTTTCATTTTCTTACGTCTTTGACCAGCACATATTTGCGCTGGACTATTAATCAAAAACATGTACATAATGTATGTATAGTAAAAGAGGAACTAGCTTCGCGAAGCAGTTTTTTTTTATTATATTTTCGTCTATTGGTATATTAATTTAAGAACATTATTTACAGTTCATGTATGGGTGCTGGGACGAGGTACACCTGTCAATGCTATATTTATAGGCGTAATATCAAACTTACTTGCAACTAATTTCGGCATTGATTATGTGGATCTGACCCATATTGATCATAGCGCTGCTGCATGCTACGTTTTACCGATTATTGAACCTGGTAATCCTATTATTTTACCTGGACAATGTGACGAGAGTCTACATGTACTTTCAAACTTTAACGCTGATGCAGTGAGTATAAGTTCATTTATAAAAAAAACTATTAATCAAGCTTTAGAAATAGGTTGGTAAAAAAGAAAACAAGGGGTGTATAAGTAAATTCTTTTAGGTAAAGAAGCAGATGAATAACCCGATGGTCAGCGCCGCCTATAAAAAGATAAAAAAATAATATTCGTATTGTCTATCAGAGAAAAAAGGACACTTTTTTATAATACGTAGAAATGTGTGAATTTTACATTGATTCTTTTCCATATACTACAGATTAGTATATGCAAAAGAATCATTGTAAAATTCACACATTTTTAATCTGGTTAAAATTTCGAACCGAAAATAAAATTATTAAAATTCGTTTTAGTTCTCAGGGTTGTGGCATCAAATATCAAGCTACGAAACCTCAAATACAGATGGCACTTGTGTCAGGGCTGAATACACGTTAAGCAGTGACGGGGTGAACATCCTCAACAGTCAAGTTATTAACCAGAGGCTAGTGACGATTGAGGGGTCAGCAACAATCATCAGCACTGATAACAGCGCAAAGCTACGAGTGGTTTTAAACACACCTGGAGCTCGTAAGTATTTGGATATATTGTTAGTCTTTCCAACCATTAAGTTAGTCATTGTCATAAACTTCCAAGTTTCTTGTAAGCGATATTAGTCTATAATTGCCTATTTTTATGGCCCAGATATCGCCATCTGACTGCCTCATTGGCTATGTGGTCGCAAGTGCGACTGCCGGGCAAGGGGTCTCGGGTTCGATTCCCGGGTCGGGCAAAGTTTTCTGGGTTTGTAAAAAACCTCAGTAGTAGCACGGAGTCTTAAAATGTGCCCGGTATATGGCAATAGGCTAACCCCTTATTACATGGGACCCATAACATAAATTGTGAAAAGTAGGTGTTACATTGTAGTGGCATAATGTGCACCTCTGCCTACCCCTTCGGGGATAAAAGGCGTGGTGTTATGTTATATTTATCCAAATTAACAGTCTACAATATACTTAAAAAATCTCAATGTATTACCAAAATTAGTTATTTGGACTTCTTGTTAAAGTGAGATGCAGGACTAAAAACTAATGTTTGTATTATTTAACAGCTTCAACAACCCAAGACTTATGGATCCTAGCGAGTGATTATGACAACTATGCAGTTTTATACAGCTGCACAAATACAAATTCGTATGAAAAGAGAAGTAAGTTGTATAATAAATATAATAATAAAAACGGAGATTACGACATGAACTTTATTGATTTTATGTTAGGATGTAAAATATAAACTTTACACCGAACAGTTTCACTAATATTTATTATACTTTTTTCCAGTTTTCAGTTGGATTCTTGGCAGATCTCGTCAATTGGCACAGCAGCACCAAACAGCTGTCGATGAAATAGTTAATTCTTATATAGAACTAAACTACCAGTATTACAAACCAACAGACCAGTCTTTTGATGGTTGTTTCTTCTACCCAGAAGCGAGCGATCAGGCCGTAGTATTCAGAGGCCAATGTGAAGCAGTCAACGTCCAAGCTATGAGCGATTTTAGTGCTATTGATGTAAGTTTAAAGACTTTGATTTCAGAAAAAAAAATCATTTTTGGGCATAATACCTCTATAATTTTATAAGCTTTTATTTAAGTAACTTGCAATATATACATGTGTTTGAAGAGACATCTTGCTAGTAAATTTTGTAGTAGATTATGAGTCCCGTGTAATTTTTAGCACGCGTTTAACCTTTCATGTGTCTGAACGTGAATCCACGCAAGGGGTAATGATTTTCTATTGTGTCGCATATCGGTGCATTGCAACAGTTAATTTGCATTAATACGTACACTAAATCAAAGTTTGTACTTTTCAGTCTGAATATGCATATATTCTGAAAATCTTTTATTATCTTAGTTTTTTTTATTATTTTTCATAAAATATCTAAGGTCCTTTTTAACTAGTGATTCAATCACTTTAGTATAGCCAACTGATATAATTATTACAAGTGAAAGCAATGTAATATTGATTGAAGAAACAACCCATTTATTAGATACCACAATTAAAAACAAAAGACGCGCGTGAAATTAAAAAAATACTGTTTCAATTAATGTTTTTTTTTTCTAGTACATGGGCAAATGGCACAGTATCCGTTCGTATCCGACAAGATTCCAAGATGGCACATGCGTCAATGCTTATTACTCATTAACAACTGATGGTATTAATGTGTTGAATTCACAAGTAAACAACTTAAGGCTTGAAACTATGAGCGGAGTCGCAGTTTCTTCATCTAATGATGGATCTGCCAAACTTGTAGTCTCCTTTCCTGTTGCAGGATCTGATCGTAAGTTTCAAAAAACAAGGAAATCTTGCTCCTTATGAGTCCTAAATTCTATTAACCCAATGATGTACTTTAATTTTCATCTAGTATCTTATAGGGAACGTGAAATCCACAACATTTTGATATCATATAAACGAATCATAAATATCGTTGAACATTAAAAAACAATCTGGTCTAATCCTAAATTAAGCCAGTTGTTTTTATGAAAACTGTAGGTATTAATGATAAACTTTTGTTTTCAGAAACTACATCTACTGATTATTGGGTCCTTGACACAGATTACAAAAACTTTGCTTTAGTGTACAGCTGTCAAAATATTAATGATGACGAAATGCAAGGTAAGTTACCTTTATAATAAAATAAAATATACATAATCTTTATAACGCAAAAAGGTCATCGTAAATTAAACCTCTGACCTCTATACTAGGATAATAGGGTAGATGTATAATTTTTATTTTAATGTCCGTCTGGTATGTTATTTTAAAACATTAGACACGTATTATTTATTTTCTTACTGTAAAGAATATTGATATCGCACCTACGGTGCAATATCGTCACTTATGCAATTTTTGTCAAACCTTAACTGATGAAAGAATACTCCAAATTCACCTCTTCACTTGGTGCGTTATTTATCGTCATTTGTGTAGTAAGCAAACTGACATTGTGAGGGCATTACTGTCGTTACGGTTTGTGCGCTAATCTGGACGACACTAGGAAAAACAACGTTTTATTGTTAAGTTGCGCGCGTGCCCCCGCAATACATAAGAAGTGACGGTATAGCACCGGAGGTACGATAGATTGATTTGAAATGTTGCGTGATATCTCTTTTATGTACATTTTATACGTAGAAATGACGTTTTAGCCCCACTCCTAAACTTTGATACGTTTTATCTAAGTATCATTTTATTATACGACAAAATAAAAAACTACGTATCTAATTTTTTTTCATTACTTAACTGACGGACTAATTAGATTTTTAATTTTCATACCCTATCAATGATGACATAGGGATGACCCTGCTATACCTGTATCAAAGAGATCAGTGCCATAAGAGTTTGATAAATATACATCAGTAGATCACACATGTAACCGTTGTTGTCCTTACAAATCCGAATAGCAATTAACAATTGACGATGAATAAATGTATTACTAATAATAATAACTTACTTACAAGTTATGGACTGAGAGGTAATAGTTCAATAAACTCTGACATTGCGTTACGGACTGTAGGAGTGATTCTATTGCCAAACATGGAAAAGCTAAACACCTTTTGAGTTGACTATATTAGAAAGCGTAGGCACTAAGCAGAAACGTTTATATGTCCTTACCTTTTTATGGGATAAGCCCGCAATCGGCGCTGCCCGAAACACCAGAGGCGTTACAAGTACGTTACCGACCTTTTGGGGATTAGGAATTTGAAAATTTTTGGGGATTCTGGGATGGGGGAGGGAGGTAATTAGGCCTCCGGCAACCTCGTTTATAAAACGAAACACAAAGCAAGCGTTGTTTGTTGTTTCACGCCGGTTTTCTGTGAAGCCGTAGTATCACTCCGGTCGAGCCTGTTCAGTCGTGTCGAAGCATGGCTCTCTCACACTTACACGCCTAATTATAAATATAAAAGTGTGTTTATGGGTTTGTGTTTTCTTCACACTGTAGCGTAGCGATTTTTTTGTCTGATTTCCTTAGTTGTGTCTGGAGATGGTTAGGTGGTCTGAGTGTTGCAGAGTCCGTTTGTCTTTGACTACGCGGTTGAAGTCGTAGATAACAGTTAGTATTAGATTTAACCCCTTATAAATGATTACAGTGAACAGTTGGATACTAAGCAGAACAAAATTACCACCAGTAGAACATGAACAGCGTATTAATGAAAAAATTAATTCAGTAATAGTACTAGACGAGAAGTATTATAAATTTGACAAACAGACAGAAGATGATTGTTTCTACTTCCCTGATCCTGAACCTGGCGTTCCAGTCATTTTTCCCGGACAATGTGATGAAACTGTTAATGTAGTCCCTTCCTTTGACATACAACAGGTAAGTCAGTGTTAGCCAAAAAAAAATGTAAGTGGGGTTGTAAAACCAATCATAAATAGTGATTAACGATTTTCTATTGATAAGTCACGAAACTATATATAAAAATACCTTCTTCAAAGCCAATTCTTTAAAAAAAATCGTAAAGTAAGTAAGATATATTCATTTACATTCTTTAAATATTTTTTTTATGTCCCCCAAGCAGTAGGCAGAGATGTACTAGTATATACACATAATGGCACATAGCGGTATCATATTGTTACCTATACAATCTACACCCACTTTCAACCTGTTATGTTATGAGTTCCGTGTAATATCTGTCACATTTCTAAACTCCGTGCTAAAGAAATGTTCGAACAACCAAACAAATCAATAACAACCTGACCCGTTAATAAAATTTAAAAACCCTTGCCCTACAGCCTGACTTCGTCAACAGTCGTCATATATTTTAATCAATTTCAATATAATGTTTTAGTTCGAAGGTGATTGGTACGAGATCGAATCATATCCTAACGCTCAGCAGAGTGGACACTGCAGAAACCACAAGATTTCCGTTCTCGATAACTCTCGCCTAAATTTGGAATTTTCTTCCATTTCGAATCAATTTCTACATGTAACTAGTGGAGTTGTAACTCAAGGTAATAACAACGATGGAAAATTATCTATTGAAGTTACTAATGCCAATGGAGAAGGTAAGAATTTACTATCACAGATGCAGACATTCATTCATCCATTATTTATTGTAGACTACAAACTTATCAATTACATAACATTTCATATGATTTCAGTTACAAATATTCCTTTCTGGATTCTGGGTGTACAATATGATAATTATGCACTGGCATATTCTTGTGTCAACATCAATTCAGACTTCAGATCTGGTAAATATATTAATAGTGCTTAATATAAATAAATTAAAAAGTAATAAAACCCTAAGGGTATATCCACATCTGGAAAATGCACCTCATATGTTCCACTCGCGAGCCATTTGCGGGCTACCTACGAGCTACGCGCGTCCGGTCACGTCAATGGTTTGATGCTCAACCTGCGAGTGGCTTACATGCTGCGCATTCGCAGAGCATTTACCGAATGTGGACGCACCCTAAAAGAAAGATTAATAACAAACTTTCCATATTTAATGTTTATAGTTAAAAGTTGGAAGCTCAGCAGAACGAGACAATTAGCTCCAGAAGCTGATACAGCGATCAACACTATAATAAACAATAATCTTGTATTGGGCAATGAGTATTTCGAGGATATTTACCATTCTGATGCAGCATGCTTCTATCTACCAGAAATTGAAGCCGGTTTACCAATAATACTACCTGGGCAGTGCGACACTACAATAAAAGGAATTCTCGATTTCAAAATTAACGAGGTAAGGCCTTACTGAACGTGTTAGTGATAAACAAAACACATTTTGGCACAGTTCCTATGGAAAACACGTCAGATTATTCGTTGGACTAACAGAAACAATTAGATATTACCTACATAGTAAAAACTTCTAATATAAATAAGTAAAACATTTATGTTTATATTATGTGAACAGAAAGTGTAATCTTAGCTCTAATTATACATATTTTTAACAGTTTGCTGGTCGGTGGCGTCTAATTGAGAGCTATGGTTCAGAATTTCAACATGGCACTTGTAATGAAGCAGAATACGTATTGCAAGCTGATAACAGTATCAGCGTAATTAACTCACAAGTTATAAATGAGAATTTGGAAAGTATTACAGGGACTGCTTCTGTTGCTAGCACAGATGGAAGAGGCCATTTGCGAATATCATTCCCAAACAGTAAGTTGGACGCTAATCGATTTAGTACAGTACACTTTGAAGATTATTTTATACAATCAAATAAACTGTGAAAAAGAAATATGTACATTTGCACCCAAAAATATTCATAAAGATATTTATTATTTTCTATGAATAAGTACCTATACTTTTGTTAACACCTGCTTAAATATAATTGAAAGTTTCTTCAAAATTAAATTTCAAAGTTTGTAATATTATTTTATCGCGTGTGCCGTATCTTGCTTAGATGATTTACCTATACCTATTGTACTGTAATGGTGATGATAGCAATTATTGTAAGCAATACGTATATACATATTATGGGTATGTTATACAGTTATATATATTATAACTGTTTGGTCACAAATAAAACGTCACTATCTTTTATAATGAAGTTAATAGAATTTATTTATTTCTAATTTAATTAGTTATTTAATTAATTTTATTTAATTCTTTGATAAAATGCAACTTTTTATACTTTATCTATTGGTGTAACATTAATGTTCAACCGCTGAAAATCATTGAATTGCAATATTTTAACTACTCATATTCCTTTCAGGAGAAGAATACTTCGACTTCTACGTACTCGACGTAAATTATGAGTCGTATGCTCTTGGTTACGGCTGTGTCAACTTACCGAATAATGAGAGGAGAAGTAAATATTTATAACTATAATACTAATTACCTACCATCATCATCATCATCTATCGTACTATTTTTATTTATCACATTTTAATTTTACATTGACCGCCGGTATTCGCAATGAGTCATAAAAAATACTAGTGACTGAATAATTCCCTAATTCGATATTATTTAGTTTACAGTTGGAAATTGAGCCGTTATAACACATTGAGCCCAGAAGCAGTCACTAAAATCAATGCAGTAATTGATAGTGTTCAGGTTTTAAACAACGCTTACTATTACACCATTGACCGCGACGATACAAGCTGTTTCTACTATCCTATTCCAAACCTTAACTCTTATGTCAAGTTTCGAGGTCAATGCGATCAAAATATCCCAGTAGCCACAAATTTCGAACTTGAAAAGGTATGTTCATAAACAAAATGTAATCGAACTTTCAAGTAGCACTATTTAAATCTATGTCACTATTAATGTTTTACTTTATTGTCTTGTTTGTACAGTACTTGGGCGTTTGGTATGATATCCAGTCGTACCCAGGAGACTTCCAAGATGGTACATGTAACACTGCAGAATACTCACCCGGGAATAACGGAATCCATGTTTATAATACTCAAGTGATCGATCAAAGTCTTGTCTCTATTAGTGGTAATGCTGTGCTAGAACCAAGTAATGATGGAAGTGCCAAACTTAAAGTTACCTTCAACGTCGCAGGCACAGATGGTAAATATTACATCATAAATAATATGAAATAAACCAAATTATTTATTTTGATTGATACAGTACATTAGATTATGTACAAAATACCATAGTAAAGTAGTACCACTCAATGCTTTTAAATGAAAGTCTACTAAAATTAATGTCACCTCTTCTGTATGTGTGCTGTTACAGTTACCACAGATTACTGGGTGCTTTCCACCAACTACGAATCGTATGCGTTGGTTTACTCTTGTACCAATATTGATGATTACTACATGAGAGGTAAGCTACTTCTATGCCGAACTTTTACTAAAATGATCATTTGACACAGATCAAGTTACTATGATTAATCATTTTTCTCTTCATTTCTAGTTTCTTCTTGGAAACTGAGCAGAGAAAAGGTTTTAGAAGCTGCAGATGAGACTGCTATTAGCAACGCCATGAACAACATAAAAGTTTTGGACCAAAGATATTTCGTAACACGTAAGCTAGATCCTGAAGACTGTTTCTACTTCCCTGAACCACAACCAGGAGTGCCAGTGGTGTTCCCAGGACAGTGCGACGATAGTATTGCAGCGGTACCGAACTTCGACATAAACGAAGTGAGATTCGTTTTATCGTCATGAAAAATTTTTACGTACCGGTTAACGGAACAGGCATGCTCAACGAAGTACTTATATTTCAGTTCGCAGGTACATGGCATGAGATCTCAGCGTATCCAAGGGCTAGCCAGTCAGGGCAATGCATCAGCCAACAATTCACCGTCACCAACGACAACACCATGCATCTAGAGTCATTCAGTGTACTCGACCAATTCCAATCGAGCACAGAAGGTATCGTCACAGTCGCTTCCACTGACGGTAGTGGACGATTGAATATCAATATTCAATCCAATGCAGAGCGTAAGTTTTACTTTCGTTATATATTTCATTACTATTGAATATAGTGCCAATATGATAATCAAATGTGTTTCGTTTCATAGCAATACCTTTCTGGATCCTAAGCGTAAAATATGATGACTATGCGTTGGCGTACAGTTGTGTCAACATCGATAGAAATTACCGAAAAGGTGAGTTGTAATAAAATCGTACACTGGACACTTTTCACTGCACGTATGAATGTTTAATATACGTAATATATTCTTGTTGTTCTAGTCCACAGCTGGAAGCTAAGCAGGTCCAGAGGATTGTCAAGTACTGGTAATGTAGCCATCAATGACGCCATGACAAACATCGACGTCATAGACGATAGATACTTCGAGAACGTTGACCAAAAAGATGAAGCTTGTTTCCATCTTCCCGACATAACACCCGGTGAAAATATTGTACTTCCTGGACAGTGCGACACAACTATTAAAGGAATACCTGATTTTAGAATTGCAGATGTAAGTTTCCTTACAAAATCTAAAAACTTTGAAAGAATTCACCAGAATTAAAAAATGTTGGAAATTTTCATCTTTCTTTTATAATTCGTTTTCCTATACTGATAATGATTATTGCAGTATGCCGGCCAGTGGCGCCTCATTGAGAGCTACGGATCCCAATTCCAAAGTGGCACTTGCAACGTAGCTGAATACATATTGCAATCAAGCAACACTCTCGGCATCACAAACTCACAAGTTGTCAACGAGGTTCTGACCACTATTTCTGGGACTGCCACTATTTCTAGTACAGATGGAACCGGACAACTTACATTTAATATGAGTAAGTACTTTTTAGTCATCCCATTTAGATTTGTTGTTTTATACGTAAGTATTCAATTTTTTTAGTATATTTGATGAGGCGACGTTTGACCACTATCTCGCCTGGTGGTAAGCGATGATGCGGTCTACGATGGAGCACGTCGTCCTATAAGCAACCTATTCACTCGGGCCTTGAAGACTCCCAGGTTATACCTTTCAGGAAATACAGACTCTGGCAAAGAATTCCACTCTCAAGCAGTACGCACAAGGAAGCTTGAAGCGAAGCGCTTCGTGCGTGTGGGTGGAACATCTACCATGAAGCGGTGACGCTTCGCCGACTGTCTTGTGGTACGATGATGGAAAGGGCTAGGGGGAATCAAGTTGTGCAATTCCCCCGCACACTCACCGAAATGTAGCCGGTAGAAAACCGAAGGGCTTGCAACCTTACCCCTGTGTTCGAGGCTTTGAAGCCGGGCGTTCATAAGCGGTGTTCATCGTCGATGAGCCTCTTGGCATGCCTCTCAGTGTGCTCTAACGCGTTCAGCTGATATTTAGCCGAGCCGTCCCAAAGATGAGAGCAGTACACCATACATGACCGAACCTGTGCTTGGTACAGGGTCAGCAATTGTTTCAACGTGAAGTACCGTCTCACCCTCCATAGGATACCCAACTTCCTACCAGCCAGTTGCGCTTTTGACTCTATATAGGAGCCATGTTGAGTGTGAGCGTCAGAGTTACGCCAAGAAGCTCAAGATGATCGGTTATCGGTACGCGTCATTCCAGAAAAAATTGACTCCGTTTGGCGGAGAATAGACACGCCTGGGTTTTGCTAGCATTGAACCTAACCAAGTTGGCGACACCCCAATCAGAGACCGCCTTCAAGGTCGAGTTCAAACTTTCGACCATGGATTCTCTTAAAGACCGGATCTGTGCTCCGCTAGTCCGCGCATCGGACACATACATTTCAACAACGGTGCTGTCAGGGGCTAAAGAGACCTCAACCCTTACATAAAATATTACTTGGGAATTTCCGCTTAAAATTCAATACACATTGAATAAAAATAAAAGAAAAATGGTTTAATTTAAATAATAACAGAAATAAAACACTCTGCATATTTAAATAATACACTATTTTTACCATACTAGCTACTCACGAGAGGTTTTACCAGCTCTGCTCAATTCCTATTGATTGTAGCGTGACGTTTTATACCCTATAAATGCACTATCCAACTAAGAAAGAACCATTTACATCAGACCTGCAGTTCCAAAGATTAGTGTGTTCGGACAAACAAACTCTTCAGCTCTATAAAATCATATTACTTTTACTATTATAATCATGTATGTCTTTCCCATTCACGGGACAGAGGGTCCCAGTCATTTGGAAGGCATACAAAGACATATGAGAGGCTGAAGCCAATTGCGCAGAGGCCGTTTAAACAACTTTAACTCGTCGAGTACCGTCATTATAGACACAATTATAAAACAATAGGTTGCGGTCACCGGTGACCGCTTGGTGTTTGACAGTTTAATCTAAATGTGATGGACATACAAACCGGGGACTATCTCTGAATGCACTATGGAAATGCACCCAAGGACAGTCCTTGGTTAGTGTAGAACTATTGTGGGTAATGGGAAAAAAAGGTACGGCTATGGATGGGTTGCTGTGGACCGGTAAATTGGAAACTATGGATATTTTCTAGTGATCGTTTCTTTCAGATTACATAATTATTATACATTGTTCAAGCTTGAAATCGCTAATTGACTGTCAGCAAGCAAAGAGATCTATGGCATTAGAGATCTCCTAAATCATGTTTTGAAGTAAACGTGGGCTAAAACAAAAATTTTATTTTTTCTAGGAAATCGAAAGTATGTTATGTTGGTATTGGCAACTGATTACAAATCATACGCACTGACATATGGCTGTGAAAACATAGACAATGACCGAAGAAGAAGTAAGCTCCAAACAATTTCTTTTTCTTACTACTACTAATAAAGTTACTTAAATTACTCTATACATTGACATCAACCCTACATTGTTTAAGATATACCATTTAAAAAAGGTATTCAAATTTTAACACAATAATCATTATGTGCTTTTGCTTTCTTTCAGTTACAAGCTGGAAATTCAGTCGCTATAATACCTTGACCACGGATGCAATCAATGCAATAAACAAAGTAATTGAAGAAATCGAAGTATTGCACCAGCCTTACTACTATTCAGTAGACCGCAGACCTGAGGCTTGTTTCTATTTCCCAGAAGTCAACCCAAACTCTAACGTCATTTTCCGTGGTCAGTGTGACCAGACTATCGAAACTGTTAAAGATTTTGATCTCAACAAGGTAATTTACTGTAACTTGTAAACGGCTTTGATAACTACACGTCCATACAAATTTTAATAATTATGTATAAATTATATTATCTAATTGCGAATCAAATTGGAATATCCTATTTATCTGTTTTAGTATATGAATTTATGGTACGACGTCGAATCTTATCCATCGGCATTCCAAGACGGCACATGCCCCAACGCACATTACACTTTGACCGGCAACACTGTTTCTGTGCGCAATAGTCACGTTGTTGACCAGACCTTAGTGACTATCGATGGAGTTGCTACACTAGCATCTACAGATGGAAGTGGAAAACTTAAAGTTACATTCAATGTACAAAATACCGAAGGTAAGTATCCAAGTAGTACAACTCATTGCTCAAATTTAATTATTAATATACATTAATGTCACTTCTTTTGTTTGTGTTCTGTTACAGTTACTACTACAGATTACTGGGTGCTATCCACCAACTACGAATCATATGCGTTGGTCTACTCTTGTGCCAATATTGATGATGACTACATGAGAGGTAAACTACTTCTATCCTGAACTTTTGTAAATGATCATTTGACACAAATCGAGTTGTTATGATAAATCATTTTTCTCTTCATTTTCAGTTTCTTCTTGGAAACTGAGCAGAGAAAAGCTTTTAGAAGCTGCAGATGAGACTGCTATTAGCAACGCCATGAACGACATAAAAGTTTTGGACCAGAGATATTTCGTAAAACGTGACCAAGGCCCTGATGGCTGTTTCTACTTCCCTGAACCACAACCAGGAGTGCCAGTGGTGTTCCCTGGACAGTGCGACGATAGTATTGCAGCGGTACCGAACTTCGACATAAACGAAGTGAGATTCGTATTATCGTCATGAAAAATTTTTACATACCGGTTAACGGAACAGTCGTGATCAACCAAGTACCTATATTTCAGTTCGCAGGTACATGGCATGAAATCTCAGCGTATCCAAGGGCTAGCCAGTCTGGGCAATGCATCAGCCAACAATTCACCGTCACCAACGACAACACCATGCATCTAG